AAGTGTCTCGGCAGATATCCTCGAGGGGCCTCCATTGGGCTCAGGATGTATTCGTGTCGGGACGGCCGTCGCGTGGATCCTTGGGTTATTGCCCTGGGCCAGGTCGTTGTCCAATGGGGCACGGCGTGCGGGGGAGGTTGCCCCAGGCCCCAGGTCCTCAGCAAGACTCTGGAGTTGGCCCGTGTCAGGTGCTCGGAGTCCAGGCGGCCTTGGGTTGCAGCAGCGTCTCCAGCAGATGTTTATATTCTGATGGTTGGGGGCGTTGGCTGGGATGTCCCCTCGGCCACGACGTCGACGACCGACGGGGGCTCCGAGTTGAACGTGGTCAGGTTGAGCCCTGCTGCGGTGCGCAGGCTCGTCGAGGAAGGAGTGAGGCGCGAGTCCGATAGGCTTTCGCTCCAAGCTTTTTCCTTTGTCTGGGTGTTTCCGATTTTTTGGACCTGCCTGGGGCCTTCGCTCCACGGGACTTCGCGGAGCTGGACCACTCGCCAGCAGCGGGCCTTGAGGGCCCTGGTGTCGGGGGTGTGTTGGTCCCGGGCCCGCGTGCAGTGCGTGGGCACCCAGACGGCTCGTTGTGGCACAGGTGTTTTGAGTGTGATGCCCACGCAGCGTTGCGGAGGGATCACGCGTCTCCCGGCCTGCTGAGGCGGGCCCAGAGGGTGAAAGCTAGGAGTTTTGAAGCGGGGGAACTTTTTGCAAAGGGGAGTTTTCCCTGACCCCAGCCCCGTGTTCGAGCTGCCCGAGAGCAGGCCTGGCCAGCAAACTATCCATTGGTGTCAGCGGCCCGCGTCGGGCTATTTGTCTAGCCTTCTGTTCCTGGACGGGCCCGCGCTGTTCCCGAGCTCCAGGGCGCTTTCCAGGGCTGGTTGGTCTGCGGTCAGCTGTGACAGGTTTGGCCAGGTTCTGTCAGCGGCTTTTGGGCCTGTCCCGCAAGACCAGGCCCCCTTCCAGTCTTCGAGGGAGGCCGAGGGCTTTGCAGTCCGAATGCTGGCCCTTGTTGCGCTGCCGCCCGTAGACCTCTAGATAGATTGTAAAGGCACTGTGTCGACGCTCTTGGCGGGCCCTGGAGCGGGCTCCGGAGCCGAGAACCCCCGAGCCCATATGTGGGCTCCGTTCTGGGCGGCGTTTGAGCCGAATGATTTCCCGGCCCACAAGACGAAGGCCCATTGCAGCATAGTAGATGTGCAGAACGATCGCACCACCCTTTGGGAGAAGCGGGGCAACGATGCCGCCGATGAATTTGCGAAGCGTGGTGCCGCCCTCCATGGAGTGGGGGGGGGGGCGAGTGCCACCTCTGGCGTGGCCTTGTTGAGGCCGCTCGTGAGGTGGGTCGGTGGAGTGGGCGTCTGCACGCGTTGGTTGGGGACGGTGAGGCCTGCCAGGACCATGGTGACCTCATGGAGCTGTTTGCGGCAGGCAGAGGACGGGCGCAAGCGTCGACAGAGGTGCGGCCCAATGACGTGCCTGCTCCCGCCCCCGCTGCCGCTCCAGCGCGCGAGCCCGTGTTGCAGTTGCCAGTTGAGGGTTTCGAGGCCTATCATGACATGGGTTACCCTTTCAAGTGCCACCCGATGCTGCACGCGACGGTCAATGCGAGGTCGGGCCATGAAGATGGCAAGGCCATGAACTTTTGTTGTGCTTGCGGTGCCTTTTTTCCAACGTGGAGCGGCCGACTCGAGCTCTCCTCAGGCCGCGCCTCAGAGAGAGCGCGGTTTCGGGCTTGAGGTGGCAGCTTGCGCGGATTAAGGAGAGTAAGTGCCCGTCTGGCAAGGCAGGGCTGAAGGACCTGTCCTTAACCCCCCCCGAGGGAGTGCCGTTCGCTGTCCGTGTGAGGTTGGCCTCTTATTTTGGCCCTGTAGATCCCGCCCCTGGCACCTCGGCTCGGGACTTGGGGGGAGGTGGGCTTCGGGGGGCGAGTGCCTTGGGGACGACGACGTCCCGAGCCGAGGTGCTGAGGGCCTTCGGTCCCCTGGAAGGGGACCTGCCAGCCATCCGCGCTGATTTATTCCGCCGTCTGTGCAAGGAGGCCGAGGAGGGGCCCGAAGAGCCCCTGGACGGGGTTTTCGAGGAGGTCTCCCAAGATACGGAGGCCTCCCACGCCGAGCGATAGCTCGACCGCACTGGCTTTAGGCCGCTTGCTCATCTCAACACCTCCTCCTCCGCCTCCTCCTCCTCCCCCCCTCCTCCTCCTCCTCCTCCTCCTCCTCCTCCTCCTCCTCCTCCTCCTCCTCCTCCTCCTCCTCCTCCTCCTCCTCCTCCTCCTCCTCCTCCTCCTGCCCCCCTTATCAGGGCCCGCTCCAGCTCGGTCGATCCGTGTGATTTCGGGCGATCGCAAACATGGCCATCGCAAGCGCGTGTCTTCGGGGACGGCTTTTTATAATTCACAGAAGGCCCGGGAACTTCCGAGCCTTCTGAGAAGGCCCTCCCCTTCTCACTCCCCCCCCGGGCTCGCCGCCGAGATCCATATCTCAGACCCTCCCTTTGTCAGGCGATCGCAGAAATGGAGGGGGCGTGGATTAGCGACGGGCCCCGCTTCCACGGGAAATCTCGGATTTCCGCCGCCGAGCGAGGCGGCACCGGCCGCGTCTTGGGGAGAGCACCTCCCCCGATCCTCCTCCCGGCCAATTCCCCCGATCCCGAATCAAGAGCTGACAACCCCTTCGCGGACCTCTCCTGCAGTTGCTTTTGAGGGAGCATTCAAAAATAAGTATCGTTCCCATACGGTCGTCCCCTATAGTACGTTTCGTCCCCATACTACTCAAAATGTCGTCCCCATACTACTTTTCGTCCCCATACTACTGTCAACGACTCAAAATGTCGTCCCCATACTACTTTTAGTCGTATGGGGACGACACTTCGAGCATGTTGAAGCGTTTTTGGTACATGTTTTATTATGTTTAAGATGTCTACCGAAATCCGCCTGTAGGGGGACATGACCGACCTGACGTCAATGGTATCATGCATGGCAACGATCAGGCGACTGAAATGAGCGGAGGTTTTCCGGCGTGTCGGTTGACAAGAAAAGGTCGGAGTTGTGGTTGTTATGTATATATATATATATATAGATCCGTAAGGGTTTCGCCCCCTGCCGCCGGCCCCCTCTCTCGGAGAATGGGCCATGGAAGAGCTAAGTCATGAGGTCTTGGCGCTGTCGTGAAGCAGTATCGAAACTTCATGCGAAGTCGATTCGCAATCAGCAAAACCAACTGATCACAAGAGGGGTTACCACACCTGGCGATTGGTAAGACGTGTATGGTTTACGGGCTTGGTTACCACACCTTGCGATTAAAGGGCCGAGGGAGTTCTCGCAGATGGATGTGCGTGGGGTGTGGCACCGAATTTCAGAAATGTGGCAAATCCCCTGTTTTTTTGGACCTTGACCCCGCGGATCTGCGTAAGGGGTGGCACCGAATTTCAGAAATGTGGCAAATCCCATGTGTTTTTGGACCCTGACCCCGCGGATCTGCGTGAGGGGTGGCACCGAATTTCAGAAATGTGGCAAATCCCGTTGTGTTTTTGGACCCTGACCCCGCAGATCTGCGTGAGGGGTGGCACCGAATTTTAGAAATGTGGCAAATCCCATGTGTTTTTGGACCCTGACCCCGCGGATCTGCGGCAAATCCCCTGTGTTTTTGGACCCTGACCCCGCAGATCTGCGTGAGGGGTGGCACCGAATTTTAGAAATGTGGCAAATCCCGTTGTGTTTTTGGACCCTGACCCCGCGGATCTGCGTCAGGGGTGGCACCGAATTTCAGAAATGTGGCAAATCCCATTGTGTTTTTGGACCCTGACCCCGCGGATCTGCGTGAGGGGTGGCACCGAATTTCAGAAATGTGGCAAATCCCATGTGTTTTTGGACCCTGACCCCGCGGATCTGCGTGAGGGGTGCTGATTTCGAGCCCCCCCAGCAATTCAGACAACGCGCCCAGGGGGGTCCGAAAAAATTTTGTTTGGGCCTCCCCCCCCCTCGCGCGGTCAACCAACTAGTTACAGTAACCAGCAATAAGCAGAATTGTAACACTGGAAACTACAAGCTACAACTGGTACAGGAAACTGCGAGTCACGTGCCTACAGTCTGGTGGCCCCACAAGGGGGCCGGCGGATATATATAATATATATATATATATATATATATATATATATATATATATATATATATATATATCAGCCTCTCCTCCTCCTGCGCCTGCTCTCACCTCCTCTGCCCTGCCGCTGCTCTGGCTCGCAGGGCCCTGGAGCCAGAGCGTTCTGGAACGCTCTGAGGGGGCCGCGCCGCCGCCGGATCTCGGAGCTTCCCGATGTGATCCCCACCCGAATTTCTCTTCGTCCGGGCGTCGTCTTACCAGGAGGCCACGGGCATAGAACAAAGCATCGGCCATGTTTTGTTTCCACTGCGCGAGGGGGTCTGGGTGCCACCCCCCAGCGCATGCCGCCCACCGGTCAGGCGACGCCAAACATGGATCAGGGGGACGTGGATTAGCGACGGGTCCTGTTTCCATGGACAATCGCGGATTGCCGCCGCCGAGCGAGGCGGCACCGGCCGCGTTTTGCGGAGGGCACCTCCCCCGATCCATGTCTGCGCGCTTCCGATGATTGTTATACATGTTCCAGCTCGGGCGAATCAGGATCTGACAATCCCTTCGCGGACCTCTCCTGCAGGTGCTCTTTTTGAGGGAGCAGTCAGAGATAACCTAAAACGTTGCATGGGGACGACATCTTGAGAGTCTTTGAGCATTTTTGGCAGATTTTGGATTCTGTTCCACTTGCTTACCGAAGCTCGCCTGTACAGTCGGGGCCCTAAAGAAGGAACCCTTTTCGTTGGGGAGGGGCTCCGCGTTCCTTAAGTGTTTCACAGCTTGCCTCGGGCTTTCCTTATGTCTTCGACAGGAAGTCGAAGGTTAACTTGTGGAAAAAAGGGGCCTCGTTCCTTATTTAGGGTTCCTCAGGTCAACGCCCCGACTGCAGGGGGCACCTCCCCCGAGCTGGTCCCGCCTCGGCAGGTCCAGGCGGTCAGCGGCCCCTCGCACGACGCGCTGCCGCCCTTCCGGTGGCCCGGGGCGGGGACCCCACAAGAGGGCAGCCGCGGCGCGCGCGCGCGCCGTCCCTCCATCAGGAGGGAAAGTAAAACAGGGCTAGGATCGGGATCGGATCGGATCGATCGGTGTCGAAGCGGACCGATCGGATCAAAGTGGACCCCTGCTGTCCACCGATCTGGGCCAGTCGGGGCCCGCCGCGGGGGTCCCATAAAACAAGTCTAGGATCGGGATAAATCGCTCCAGAGCGTTCCGGAGCGCTCTCAGAGCGTTCCGGAGCGCTCTGGAGCGGCCGCGGCGCCCAACACATCCTCCAAACCCGCCGATTCTCAGAGATTTCGAGTTATCCCGATCCGATTTTGTCCCGATCTTCGCGTCGTTTTAGAAAGATACACGCAGACACAATCCATCGTCGATTCCCCAGAAGGTGTTGGAGAATAGGGGAAGTGGGGGGGAGGGCAGAAACTTTGAACATATGGGAAACTACGGGGGTTCCTGTTGTTCTGGACGCCCGCCATGGGTACGGAAAGAATGGGTGCGATGCCCAACAGCAGTTCCTGTTCATTTTGTACAGGACTCGCTGTCCACGCCGCCTCGACCTGTGTCCACTCGAGACAGAAGGCCGCCTGCCCACCAGCGGCCGCTGTTGGCTTGGGACAACATTTGCTGTTGGGCAGTGTACCCATTCTTTCCGTACCCATTTCGGGCGTCCAAACTCAATCAGGAGGGAAAAGTACACGCAGACACAATCAATCGTCGATTCCCCAGAAGATGTGGGAAAATATTGGAAGTGGAGGGGGCCAGAAACCCTGAACATGTGGGAAACTACGGGGGTTCCTGGTATCTGTGTTTATATTCGAATATTCAAACATAGTCAAAACATAGCCAGGGGACGTTTTTTTGTTGTTTTTGCAATGTTTGCCCCTTTGAAGTGTATTTTCTGAGTATCTTCAATTTTTCGTTCAAGATCCCCCTGTAGGGGGACACGCCCGACTTAACTCAAGCTGTGCCTGCTGCTGGGCTGCTGTTTGTGCCAGCGTCGAAGGTGTGTGCTGTTCCAGCCTGCCTTAGGCCTCGACCGCCAGGGAGAGTCTCGAGCACGAAGGGAGTGGCGAGACTGCAGGGCTGTTGCGTGTCGGCCCGGATTAGTAGGTCGAGCCTGCCAAATCAAGGGTACCCTTGTGTCCTGTGTCTCGCGACCCGTGCCGCCTGCATTCCTGTGGCAATGTGGCCCTCGGACGGGTCTTGTGCCCTCTCGCGTGTCCTCTCCAATGAAGTCCGACTGTCCGTGTCGGGCCATGGGAGGCGATATTCGTTCGGCTTTTCGCCAGCGTGTCGGGCAGACACTGCTACGATACTATCCGGGGTGCTCGATGTTTTTTTCTCGGATGTGGTCCTTAAGTGCGATGGGAAGCATAAGTCTAATAAGAACAACGGCGCACACAAGCGTTTGGAGCTCCGCGCGTCTTCGGCGCAAGCGGCGGCGCGGGAAACGCCGCTACGGGGGGCCCAGCGCCGGTCCAACAGGTCCGCACCGCCCTGATCTTTTATGCCGTTGTCTCTTCCCGTAGGAAGCTCACGTATTCTTTCACGGACCCCCTCTTGAACGCAGCCATCGAGCTTGCGCGCCGAAGACCGCCAAATGACAAGAGATGACCGTCAGAAGACCACCGTTTTCAGCCGAAGGACGATGGGCGACGGGGCGTTTTTGGCATTTTTTTTTACCGAACACATAGCGGAAGCCTCGTTCTTTATCAACAGCAGTGCGAGGTACGATTTTAGAAACCATCTTGTGGTGTTGGGTTTTCGTTTTGAAGATTCAGTGCCCCGCGTCTCCTCGCTTCCTTTCCTCCCCCACCTCCCATCCCTGCCTCTGTCCTCCGCATGCCCACTTGCAAACGCTTCGTGGCCCCATTGGGAGCCCCACCAACGGCCCCAGTGGCAGTGTTCGCATGCGTCCCGCCGCACGATTTCGGCACACCCCTCGCACGTCTCGCGGCTCAATCGGGAGCTGCTCCGAAGGCCCCAGTGGCAGGGTTCGCATGCGTCCCCGCGCCCATTTCGGCACACCGCTCACGCGCTTCTTGGCCGCATAGGGAGCTCTCCCGACGGCCCGAGTGGCCGGGCTCGCATGTGCCCTCCCGCACCCTTTCGGCACGCGCCTCGCACGCTTCGTGGCCCCATAGGGAGCTTCCCCGAAGGCCACAGTGGCAAGATTCGCATGCGCCCCACCGCACTATCTCTGCACACCCCTCGCACGCTTCGTGGTCCCATGGGGAGTTCCTGCGAAGGCAACCTTGGCAGGGTTCGGATGCGTCCCCCCGCACAACGTCGGCGAACCCCTCACACGTTTCGTGCTCCCATAGGGAGCTCCTCCGAAGGTCCCAATGGCAGCGTCCGCATGCGTCCCCCCGCATCATGTCGGCACACTCACACGTTTCGTGGCCCGATAGGGTCTCCCCCGAAGGTCCCAGTGGCAGTGTTCGCATGCGTCCCGCCGCACCATTTCGGCACACCCTTCATACGGCTCGTGGCCCTACAGGAGGTTCTCCAGGGGCCCCAGCGGCAGTGTTCATGTACGACCCCCCCATCGGAAGTTCCACCGAAGGCCTCAGTGGCAGGGTTTGCACGCGTCCTATCGTAACATTTTGGCGCACCCCTCACGCTTCGTGGCCTCGTAGTGAGCTCCACCGAAGGCTCCAGTGGAAGGGTCCACGTGCGTCCGCCCGCCCCATTTCGGCACACCACTCGCACGTGTCCTGGCCCCATAGGGAGCGCCAAAGGGAACGACCCTCACACCCGCGCTACACACAGATGCATGCAAGATCATGTAACGTTAAATCGGGCGTGTCCCTCTACAGGAGCAACATTCAAACACTGCCAAACCATAGTCTGGGGACGACTTTTCGAGTACTTTTTGTGTGTCATATATAAATACCATGTTGCCGCAGGCGACTTTCCGCAGGCGCGACACGGACGCAGCCTTGCGCCGCGCGTGGCTTGCAGACGAAGCCGCGCGCGCCTCGCCGGAAGACCGCCGGTGCGTGCCACGAGCAACAGTTCTCCCGGCCCAGATGGGATTCCGTTCCGCGCATGGCGTGCTCTGGGCGGCTTCGCGACTGGAGCTCTGTACGAGGCTTTCCTGGCCATCGCGAGTCCCACTGGCGCTGCGTTGATGGACTCGGACTGGGGCTCGTTCAACGAAAGTTCCATGGTTTTCTTGCCCAAGAGGACTTCGGGCACAACAGGAGACGGCCCATGGGAGTCATGTGGCGATGGCCTGCAGGGCTTTGCTCAGTGTCAGTTCTCCCCCTCCTCGTCTCCTCCTCTCCTTCTCCTCCTCTGCCTCTCCCCCCTCAGACACATGCAACAAGGAGGGTGTATTTGAGTCGCAAAATAATCCTCATCTGTAGTGCCACCCGTGTGCTGCTGTTCCCTGCTTTGAAAAGGGGTTCAGGGGCATGGAGTGTTCGGCATGGTGCAAAAAGGAGGTTGCATTTGAGACGCGTTTTATTCCTCATATGTAGTGCCACCCGTGTCGCTGAACAGGCCGAGGCGCTAACATGCTTCTACTGCGTTTGAATCATGTTGGGGTGGAAAATATATGTTTTTTTTTGAAAAAATGTTGGGGTATTTGTTGGTGGAATTCTTAAGTTTTCGCTGAAGCTCCGCCTGTAGGGGCTCATGCCCGATCTAAATGTACCGCCTTCCCCCAGGATGAGTTCCCTCCGCGGCCCCAGAAGTCTCGACTGCTCCTCCAGGGGGGCAGTTCCAGTGTTTCGTCCTGGGTCCGCTTTTCGAGCACCCCGCCCCCCAGGGGCCGAGATAGAGTTAAGTCGCGCCTGTCCCTCTACTGGGGGATACTCCAAACTAGTCAGACAATAGTCTGGGGACGATGTTTTGTTTATTTTTTGACCATTTTGTTTTTTTGAGTATTTCCCCAAACAGCTTGCTGAACGGGGTGCTGTTGTGATAGAAGCTAGCTCCGGCCGAGGGAAGTCGGAGCAGAGACATCCTCACAAAAAATTGATGGTCCGGCCGTTTCGCTTGAGACATCCTCACAATTCTCGTTTCTGAGTTGGCCGGGATTGGCCGTTTCGCCTGAGACATCCTCGAACAGTTGCGCTCCGGGACGCCGCGCGAGAGGTGGTCCGGGCCGTTTCGCTTGAGACATCCTCGAAACTCTGAGCCCCGAGGTGCCGTGCGAGAGGTGGTCCGGGCCGTTTCGCCTGAGACATCCTCGAAACTCTGAGCTCTGAGATGCCTGCGCGAGGTGGTCCGGCCCGTTTCGCCTGAGACATCCTCGAAACTCTGACTTCGGAGATGCCGCGCGAGAGGTGGTCCGGCCCGTTTCGCCTGAGACATCCTCGAACTTCTGAGCTCTGAGATGCACTGCGCGAGGTGGTCCGGCCCGTCTCGCCTGAGACATCCTCGCAACTCTGAGCTCTGAGATGCCGTGCGCAAGGTGGTCCGGCCTGTTTCGCACAAGACATTCTCGCAACTCTGAGCTCCCAGATGCCGCGCAAGAGGTGGTCCAGCCTGGGGGCCCAGAAGACCACATGTTACATATCCTCCCTGGGACCCTGGGAGTCCGCCTGAGACATCCTCGAACTTCTGAGCTCTGAGATGCCCTGCGCGAGGTGGTCCGGCCCGTCTCGCCTGAGACATCCTCACAACTCTGAGCTCTGAGATGCCGTGCGCAAGGTGGTCCGGCCTGTTTCGCACAAGACATTCTCGCAACTCTGAGCTCCCAGATGCTGCGCAAAAGGTGGTCCAGCCTGGGGGCCCAGAAGACCACATGTTACATATCCTCCCTGGGACCCTGGGAGCCCCAGGAGGCCCCAGAGAGCTCCGGGAGGCCGCAGGACGCCCAGGACAGACCCCAGGGGTCCCCAGGAGATTCCCAGGAGGCTCCCAGGAGGCCCCAGGAGGCCCCTCAACTGACGGCTGCCGCCGTCGCAAGAAAGCTGAAAGTCTTTTCTGCCCGAGACTCAAGAGCTCTGAAACGGTTGCG